TCAGCTAGAAGCCTTAAAACCCGAGAACGTGTCAGATGAAACTTTGCGGGGAATCGACAAAAACTTAGAGGTCAAAGGAGACGGAGTATACTATTTCATGAACCGAATATGGACCCCAAAGTTCGGTGGTTACAGAAAGGTTGTCATGAATGAGGCTCACAAAACTAAATACTCCGTTCACCCAGGTTCGGATAAGATGTATCTGGATCTCAAACAACTCTATTGGTGGCCAAACATGAAAGCAGAGATTGCTACCTTCGTGGGCAAGTGCCTGACTTGCGCCAAGGTGAATGTCGAATATCAAAAGCCCTCAGGTCTACTTCAGCAGCCCGAAGTACCTGAGTGGAAGTGGGAAAGGATAACCATGGATTTTATCACCAAGTTACCCAGAACTCCTAATGGGCACGACGCCATCTGGGTAATTGTCGATCGATTGACGAAGTCCGCCCACTTCCTGCCAATCAAGGAAAACTTCAAGATGGAGAGACTCACACGGATCTACCTTCAAGAAATAGTTCGCCTTCATGGTGTACCTGCATCCATTATCTCCGATCGAGACAGCAGGTTTACATCGAGGTTCTGGCAGTCTTTGCAGAAGGCTCTTGGAACTAAGTTGGATATGAGCACGACTTATCATCCGCAGACCGATGGACAGAGTGAGAGAACAATTCAGACCTTGGAAGATATGTTGAGAGCCTGCGTCATTGACTTCGGCGCGTCATGGGACACTCATCTTCCTTTGGTGGAGTTTTCCTACAACAACAGCTACCATACCAGCATCAAGACTGCGCCGTTTGAAGCCCTCTATGGCCGCAAGTGCAGATCCCCTCTGTGCTGGGCTAAGGTGGGCGACACGCATCTAGCCAGGGGTCAAATCCCCGATAGTACTCTCACTGGTCCTGAGATCATCCGAGAGACAACTGAGAAGATTGTACAAATCCGGGAACGACTGAAAGCCTCACGAGATAGACAAAAGAGCTACGCCGATAAGAGACGTAAACCCTTGGAGTTCCAGGTTGGCGACCGCGTCCTCCTGAAGGTCTCACCCTAGAAAGGCATGATACGCTTCGGAAAGCGTGGAAAGCTAAACCCAAGGTACATTGGACCATTCGAGATCCTTGCTAGGATTGGTCCTGTAGCATACAAACTTCAGTTACCGCGAGAACTCAGCAACATTCATCATGTTTTCCATGTATCGAACCTAAAGAAGTGTCTGTCCGATGAGACACTTGTGATTTCACTCGACGAGATTGAAATCAACGAGAACCTTAACTTTGTGGAAGAACCGGTCGAAATCATGGACAGAGAGATCAAACGAACAAAACAAAGTCGCATCCCGATAGTGAAGGTTCGCTGGAATGCCAAGCGAGGACCTGAATTCACTTGGGAGCGCGAAGACCAGATGAAGCAGAAGTATCCGCATCTCTTTCCAAATCCATGATTTGTATTCTAGGTTCAAATTTCGGGACGAAATTCCCTCTAACGGGGGGATGATGTGACAACCCGAAACTTTTTCTGTTTTCTGTTATGCATTTCCGTTAATGAAATTTCAGATCCGTTAACTTTCCGTCAAAATTTTGGTTTAAATAAAATAATCTAGCTATGCTTAATTAAATTATTTACAAGTCGGAACCAAAAATCGCGCGGAAACCTGAAAATCTCGTAAATCAACATTTTTGGTCAAAAATGGGATTTACGACCGTAAACTAGTTTACGGCCGTAAACTGGTTTATGACCGTAAACCCTGTTTACGGTCAGTGACGAGTGGACCCCATTTTCACCCTATAAATACGATACCCCCACCCTCATTGGAACATTTCTGGCCACATTCTCTCATCCTCTCTCTAAGAATCTCAAACCGTAAACACTAAAAAACGCATTTAAGCTTCGGAAAACATCGAGAAACCACGTTTGGAGTCACTGGGAAACGCCTGGAAACGATTATCTCTTCGAAAACGGCAAGCAGGACCATTTTCTTGAGTTTACGGTCCACCTTCAAGAACCATAAACCCTGTTCTTGAGTTTACGGTCCAACCATCAGAAACCGTAAACTCTGTTCTTGAGTTTACGGTCCAAATTTCAGAAACCGTAAACTCTTTTCTTGAGTTTATGGTCCAAGCCTTCGAGAACCGTAAACTCCTCTTCGACCGTAAACACCTTTTAAGTGGTGTTTTTGGCTGAAAACCCACCTCCTTCGATTCAAGCAAGTCTCGGTAACATTCCTCAACCAAATTCAAGGGTTTTCCGACACTTTATCTAACGAAATCGCTAATTTAGATGCATATACGTATTTATTTGTTAATAGGATTTCGTTAAGTGTCGCGTGCAACAACTCGGGAACCTTCTTTTCAGTTAACAACTTCACGCAACAATTATGAGTTCATACCCCTACATCTTTCCGCATTTTTAATGTTTTCAGGGGGGGGGGGGAATACAAGCTAAACATAAATGTTTTCTTTCAAGCTAAACAAAAGTGTTTTCAGAAATACACATAAAACTTATGCAAATTTCATACTTTAATTCCCTTTTGTACCATGTCGAGCATAAGGGATGTTTTCACAAAAATTGCATAGTTTTTACGGATACGCTATTCGCTACATGTAAACTATAATCGGTATAGTTTGGGATTTCTCTAAAAACTTATCAGACATGGAAACTTTCTCTACTAAACATACGTACTGGAACAGATACCGTTTACAGTTTATATCATTGCTTTAACGTGATTTTCATAACTGTAATTTATCACTATACGCGGTATACATTCGGATTTTCACTACGGTAGAACGCTACTGCATTACTTGTAAACTAGATTGTACGATACTGTGAGGCGCTACTTCACTACTGTACCCTTAGGTGTACAGGGATAAATCCTACCACTGTATAACCAGAGTCTCCTGGAGGGAGGGCGTGAGGTTTGTGAATAGATCTATTCAGGACTGACAATCCTACATCTGGACTGTTAGCTACAGTTTGGCGGGCACGCCTAAGATGTACAAATGTCATTTAACATCAACGCCTGAAGAACGTTGGAAAGGTCACTAGTCATATCAAGCATAGTTATACGACTCACATTATGTATAAATCACAGATAGTTTACCAACCTGGTTTTCTTCAATAGTTTTATTTATACCAATAGAACTAAACATACAATGCATACTGGCCGAGCCAGGGTTTTCAAAACCGAATCATTTATGATACAGTTTTACATTTAAATACATATACTTCATGATTAGCTTTAGCTAGTCACATGAAGTAGTATTTTGCATATCACTATGATTTTTTAGAAACGAACATTCATGGTTGTATACGAAATCGATAACACTACGTTTTTCACTAAAGAAAATATCGGATTTTCTTGAGACTACACAAACATTTCGGCTCGCTCATTAACAAGTTTTCATTACAAAATTACTGCTTATGAACTCACTAGCTTTATGCTGATATTTTTTTCAAACTGCTTGTATTCTCAGGAAATCAGTAGACAGTTACTTGCGGGATTTTCGAGGAACCAAAGCATTTAGAGTTTTAAGCTTTTATTTTGCAAAACTATTGGATGTATTTCAAACTGAGTTTCAAACCGATGTAAACATTTTCATACAAATATTCACTGTAATGGTTGTGTTGCTATGATTGCTGTTATTCATTGGTTGTGATGCTATACATGACGTCCTCCGCCCCGGAATGTTTCCGCCAACGGTTTCGGGGTGTGACAGTTATGTTGGTATGTGGTATCTTGGGGAACTCATTAAGCTTTGTGCTTACGATTTCCAGTTTACGTTTCAGGTACTTCCAGTTCCAAAGGGAAGAGTTTGGGCTGACTGTATCACACACACCATGGGGATTTCGAATTTGACGTTTACTCTGATTTTGATACATGTTATACATTGATTTTGTTGAGATGTATGGATGATGTTTGAAAATACTATTTTATCTATTATAAAAACGAAATTTTTAGGACCATATTTTTGGATGTTACAGTAATAGCATTGTACTATTGATATTAGTAACTATGATAGTAAAGTACCAACTATATTTAATACCAATACAAATTTCATTCAATAACAATACCAACTACATTACATTAGGTGAAGAAAAAACATTAACAATAATGATTTCAATTGTTGGAAATAGTGTCCACATTCATCACAGTTGGTTATACTATTAATAAATAATAGCATGATCATTTTGGTTATACTTTTAGTAGTTGCAAATTCATCTTCAAAATTTGGGTCCAATTTGAAAAGAATAACAAAACCCATTTCTAGAACAATGGTTAAACTCTACAACCAAGAAATTAAGGAAGACTCTAAACATTTTTTTCAGGGTGTTATTTTGTCTTGGAAGTTCCAATTCGATTCGGGAGAAAACAATTATAAAGAATCTCGTTGTCTGCTATTGAGATAGATGAAACTAAAGCCGAAGACTTCTTCTTCTTGGAGGAAACTAGGGCACCACCATTATTTGACCGATTTGTGAATTAGGTGATTGATTTAAGTGAGGAAAAAGTCATGTATGAGAACATCTCATTAATTATCGTCATACGTAAGATGCGACGTGAATAAAACTTAAAGAAAACCAATCATAATGAATGAATGTATAAAAAACAATAATAACTTATTTTGCTAAAAAAATATTAAGAACTAAATATGTAAAAACTGATAACTTAACATGGAGTAGCCGGTCATAAAATATGTACAAAACAACAAGTTATAAGATTTATTTAAAAAAAAAACAATAAGGAGTAAACATGTACAACATAAGAAATATATTACCCTTATAGATCATTTTCCTATATTAAAACTATAAAAATAGAATATAGGTCATTTTTTCCTATATTAAAACTATAAAAATAGAATTTTTGAAATCAAATGTACAAAATAAGAAGTCATTTTCCTATATTAAAACTATAAAAAGAGAATAAGATATACAAATTTTGAAATTTTGTAAATTTCACATCAAACGTTTAGATATGACTCTATGAGCCCTTTAAATTGTTACCTATGGTTTCATACAAGGAACATGGTCCGCACTTAAGGCTCAGGCTCTGGTGCATTCTGTTACAATTTGGCTTAAAGCCTCTCTCCAGGTCTGGTTCTTTGTCTGTACCCTCAGCCCTCACTTGCAGGGCTTCACCTCGTTTTCTCTCTCAATCCTCCTCTACTTAGGCGGCTTCCTTTCGTTCTTCCTCTCGTTAACAGATTGAATGTTCCACCATATCCTGTTTCCATATCTTCGACAGGGGTGTTGAGCCGCCTCACAAACCCTAGATCCAACCTTCCATACATACCATCCGTATTCTTTTTGGATTTTACAAGGTTTCCTTCGTTTACCCTTCTAACCCCAACCATGGTTGGTGGTACTCATCATCAACAACAACAACAACCGCAAGCTTCTCAATTGGCCCCGCCTCTATCATCGTCGACGACGACTGTTCCCGTGGCTACGACGGAGGAAGAGGAGTTTCTGAAACGAAACCCGATTGCGTTTACTTCCTTGCGTCTCCTCTAACCTGTAAAAAGGTAAAACTTGTTACATATTTTATTGCTCTTTTGTAATGCATCAGATCTTTGGGTTTTTTTTTCTCGTTTAACGATCTTGAGATTGATATTGGCTTTTCTTGTTTCATTCAATTAATTTGATCTTACTTGAAGACGATATCATCTTCGTGAATCGTAATTTGTGTAATTTTCTTTATGCTTTTGTTGCCCCCCTCTGTCCCAAAGCTGAATTAGAGTTCACTTATGAATTTTGTTATTCAACCGACTACTTTATATTCGGAATTGATATAAATATCTATAGATTATTGCTCCAAAATGTTGTGATTGTGATACTTTTAAAATTTTTGTATCGAACCAAGAAGTTCTTGTTGATTTAGAGTTCAATACGGATTATTTGATGGAGTAAACATGCAAGTTATGATACGTATTACGTGGTTTGTTTCAAATTCGATGGCCTTTCTTTTTGACTGAAAAAGAGGGACAACATGAATTAGGGTTTCACTTGTTTTTATATTTTCTTTCTAACTTTAGAAATCTGAAATCTTTAAATGTTTTGGTTATTGGTTCTTGAGAAAATTTATACCTTTCTATTACAAATTCAAACACACATGCCTCTAAAGAATCTTGAACTCATAACCTAACTTAGTTTCTCATATTTTGCATTTAATGTATTATTATATTATCTAAATAAATTATATCTTTTGCTATATAACAGGGAAGTGAGTGTGAGTATCGCCATAGTGACATTGCACGGGTGAACCCTAGGGATTGCTGGTACTGGTTAAATGGGAGTTGCTTAAATCCAAAGTGTGCTTTTCGTCATCCTGTAAGTATTTTTATTAGTCTCATTAATTTTTATAAAAAGTGGTTATATATTTATTTATTTATTTTTCTTTTTTCAGCCTCTTGATGGATTATTGGGAGCTGAAGTTCCCACTCCTGTGGGACCTACTCTACCTCAGGCTCAAACACCTTCATACCCTATGTCCAAACAAGGTGTTCCTTGCATTTTCTTCCAGAAAGGCTTCTGTTTGAAAGGACATTTATGCCCTTTCTTGCATGGCCCACCAAACATACCCAACAACAAAACCATGCCACCTGTCCCTTCTAACAACGTCACAAATCCTTCCAAGATAGCTTCTGAGAAACCCATTCAAGAACAGAAACTTGTGCAACAAGAAACTGAGTTCCCGCCTCCAAAGATGAATCAAAACCCTACTCCGGCGAGAAACGGCGGCGGTGGTGGTGGGGTGGAGAAGAAGGTGGCGGCGGCGGTTGAGGAGCCTAGGTACAGACCGGCCAATGTTGTTGTGAATGAATTCCCGGTCAACAGGTCAAACCATGGAGTCTATGAGACTCATGTTGTGGATAATGAGGGTATAAATGGAAAAGATGTTGATGAATATTCAAGAGAACCTACTCCTGGTTTTGATGTTCTTGTGGACAATGAGCTTGGAGATTCTGAATACTATCCTAATGATTTTGAAATGGGTCGACCCGTTGACTATGATGTTGACCAAGATATATATGGTGAACAACGTGAAGGGTATGCATGGGAGGATCATAGAGAATCTTCTGAGAGAATCTTAGGTGGGGCCCATAATTTTGGAAGGAAGCGGTACCCTAGAGATGAAAGTCCTGATCAGTTTGACAAGTCAGACTTACGCCATCGAATATCAAATCAAAGGAGGGGTAATTTCGGTAATTTCAGGAATGTTGGTAATGTTGCTAATGTTGCTAATGTCGGTGGTTTGAGGTCAGTTATCAGCCGTGAACACCCCCGTGATAACCACACTGACAGAATGCCAAGGCGGGACAACCACCACCATGACCGCCACCACGACCGCCACAACCACCACCGCATGGAGCCTGTCTCCATTAGCAGCCGGCTTAGAGGAAGAATAAAGATTCCTGAAAACGGGTCAAGGGTAGAAAGGGAAATTGACATGGGTAGGCACAACCGGTCAAGATACTCTCCTAGGCCGCCACATGGCAGATTTAGAGACAGAATAAACGAGGGAAGAGACTATAGGGGCCCACGTAATGATACTGAGTTTATGAAAAGATCACAAAAAGATGATGGTCAAAGTCAGGGAAAGAGGAAATACGGTCAACAAGTGGAAGAAGGTTTATCGTTTGAAGGGCCAAAGCCTTTGAGTGAGATTTTGAAGAGGAAAAGAGGAGGATCTGTGAATAATGACGAAAATAATAACTTGAAAGAAAATAATGAAAATAATGAAGAGGAAAATGAAAGAAAAGAAGTGATTAAGCCTCGAAGTAGTGTGGTTCATGTAATTGTGAACAAGGAGGAATCTGGTTTGAATGATGAAGATGCATTGTTGGATGAGGAGCTTGAAGCTTATGATCATAAAGATGGAGATTATGATTATGAGCAGATTGATGGGGAGGAAGAGTATAACTTGGAAGAAGGTGAGGAATACATGGAGGAAGAAGAAGAAGAAGAAGGTGGAAAGAAAGAGAGTCAAGTGTATTCTTAGATGTTAAAAAAGACTTTTCATATCTTTGGTTTTGAATATGTTTGTTGGTTTTAAGTTAAAATTAAAGCAAAACTTTCTGATTGTAGTTTGTAGAAGTAGAGGATGAATGATGATTCTAAAAACTGATTTTTTTTTTTCTTTGGAGTTTTTATTTTGTATCTAACTTTTCATGGAGAAATTCCTCCTGATGCTTCAGCACTTCTTGTTAAGATCTTAGTATTCTATTCAAAATTATATATTCACGATATTGTTGGTTTAACTGTAGGAGTTTATACACTTATGCCAGTAATAACAATATACTTGTATTTTTTTTTACATAATAGCAATGTAGCTACAATTTCTTATCAATAATAGCAACATACTTAGATTTCTGTACCAATTATAACAAATAAAGTACATCGACCCATATAATATTTGTAGTGAAATGCAACTGTATTGTTATTGTGGGTAAATAAGTAAGATATTTTGCTATTATGAATTTATTGGTACAAAATAAAGAATATTACCCATATTGTTGCCAAGAGTAAACTATGTTGCTATGCTATATGGTAAACTATATATTTTACAATCCTCCCGTCTTTCCAAGGATACATTCTCATAATCTATAAACCAATGTTCATGCTCACAATTTGAACAAAATATATCACACACATTATAGATTTCAAATACATTACACATTATGTAAGCAAATCCTCTCTTAAGTTCCTAGAGAGGAGAATAAAATGAGAGTGAATAAGATCTCTTTTCATTAATTCTCTTTCTCCTTTTAACTTATTTACATGAAGGTTCAATTTGCACCATTTCCATTTAATCAAATATTCCTCCAGATGCGAATTCCCAAGAATAATAATCCTGTCGCCAAACACAGAATGCTACCACCTTTCACCCACTCTAATGTCTCTATCCTGCAATATATATATATATATATATATATATATATATATATATATATATATATATATATATATATATATATATAACAACTAAGTATGTAAGCATATTAAACAACCAAAGGTCAATAAACTCGTCTATATGTCTATATATATATGATGGAGTCTATCTTCTCTCCATAAGTGCTCTTTTGGAGAGTAAACCAAAGACTCCACATATATCTTGCACATTTTTCTATAAGTATAAGTAAATAACATTGATAAATAAGAGTTATAATCCACTAACCTTGTATCAAATTCAAAAGGAGATGGCTTCGGTTTCATGTCATTGTTTGCTCTTAGTAGGGTAGTAGTTTCTCTAACACTCTGTTGTCTATCCACAAGAACAGTAGTAAGTGTATTTAAACTGCTGCTATCTTTGTTCATTTCACTCATCTTCCCCTTCCCTTTCACATCGATTTTTGCATCCTGAGTGTTCTTGTTGCTTCTTTGTTGTTCATTACAAGCAAATGTGTTTGGAATGTTGCTACCTTTGTTCTTTTCAATCCGATTCTCCTTGCTCTTTCCCTCAACCATATGATTAAGTGGTTTTACCTCTTTCTTTGCATCGATTATTATCTCCTTGAAGCATTTATCAGCAGCAGCATCAAACAAACAATGACGATTTCTCGCATCATTCACTAAATCTTTCCATATCGAGTCACTACGAGCTAGGGTTCTTTCGTTACCCAATATCCAGAGACAATGCCTAGATAGAAATGGAAGAGAAGACATACGAATTTATTAGATGTAGTTATAAAAAAGGAAAGCTATCTATAAAGATCGATAGTTAAGAAAGTCAAAGAATCCCACCTTGCTCTGGTCAAGGCAACATTAGTCCTTTGATGACTAGAAGTGAATCCGACATTCCCATGGCTATTCGATCTTACAGTAGATAAAATTATGATATCTTCTTCTCCACCTTGAAATCCATCGATTGACTTTACACTTACTGAAAATCCATCACGTTTCTCATACTTGTAACGAAGTTTCTCTTCAATCGATACAACTTGTGCAGCATAAGGAGACACAACACCAATGCTAAGCTTTTTCTTGGACTGCTGCCATTCTATAAACATGAAATTAAGATGTGTTTAAGAAATCATTGAACATATAGTTACAAATCTTAAAAGAAAAGGATTAGATAAATATAGTATACCTTCATAAAGTTTCTGCACTATCTTAACCACAATAGATACCTCAACCATGTTTCTTTTGCTCCCGACATCATCCCCTTCTTCTCTTCCACCAACAATATTTATAAATGAATACGAACCAAACATCGGCCCTGAAAGATATTGCCTTCCATAGCTTTTACATGTCACATTTTCTGCATCCAGAATTTTATTTTGATAAAACTTCCTGTTTGGGAAGGAACTTATTGTAGGATGCATTCTGTATTGAACATTCAGTAGATGCTTAGAATGACCCAACAAACTCAATCTTTCAAATAAGCTTCTTCCCAATCCGCATTCACTAGAAACCTGTCCACAAACATGGACTCCATCTAAGTATACAAAATTTTGAAAATAGAAATATAGAAATTAAAATAGTCTTACATTGCTTTTAACTGTTGCAGGTAATTGGCACTCATCTCCAATGAGAATAGCATGCTTCATTCCAAGAATTTGGAGGGGAATGATGGCTTCAGATTCTTTCATCTGAGCAGCTTCATCTATAACCAATAACTTCAAAGGCTCCATTTTGAATTTCTGCAACTTAAAGGAAGTAGAAGTTGTGCAGAATATAAGAGAAGCTCTTTCATAACAAAACCGTGTCATTGCATCTCTGTAAGCACTTGAATTACTTGGATCACGACTTGGAAGCTTGAGTGCTCCCAGAGAAGTCTGAAGAGTTTTTAGAAGAGAAAGGGATATGATTCTGACAGAATTTATGGATGACATATTTCCTGATTTAACAAAATCATGTTCCATAGGTTTAGAAACAAAAAGGCGCTCAAGTTCTTGGGAAACCAGATTCTTGTGAGACAACAACGATTTCAAAGAACTTAGCTTATCCAAAAGTAACACCATGGCTTGGAAATTTTCTTGCTTTATGAAACTTCGTGGGATATGAGTACAAAATGTGATGATGCACCTTTTGAGTGCAAGTAAACAAGAACTGAATCGTTCTCGCACAAACTCCATGAATGATTTGACTTTCATGTTTTTGTTGGTTTGACTTTTGTTTTCCTTTCTAAGTTGTTTTTCTTTAAACTTTTTATTATCTACATAAACATTGCTGGTTTCACTTTCATTTTTCTTTTCCTTTTCCTTTCGAAGTTGTTCTTCTTTAAACTTTTCATTATCTACATAAACATGATACTGAGAAACACAATCTTCAAGTAAATCAATCATAGATTTCATGCAATGCTTCCAACCAGTTAGAGATCCAAAGCACTGTGTAAGCCTCTCAATCCGATGATCCAGATAGATTTCTTCAATCTCTGTTCCAACTTTCAACCTCTCCTTGTTGCCAAACAATAGCAAATCTCCAATGGAACAAAACGAATCACCACTTGCAGTTATAGTTTTAGATGATTCCTTTACCAAGCTTAGAACACGTGAAGCTACTGCTACTATGGCAACATTAGTTGGAGCACATGTAAGTGTCCTGCACTTCATTTGCAAGAAGATAAAGAGCATCACACTTACTGTCATCGTTTTCCCTGTTCCAGGGGGTCCCCATATTTGTTCCACAGAGGATTTATGGCAACATTCCACTTTACCAATCGAAGCCATAATAGCTGCTTTCTGGGATTCATTCAGTTTAGAAACAAGACTTTGATCAAATCTTTGGAGAGAACTATTGCAACGTAATGAACAAATATTACATTTCTCCTTAACCTATAACAAAACATCCATAATAAACAATGATGTTAAGACTTAACAAAGAAAGATTGTATTTGAACTAAATAAGAGTATAACTTCAAACAAGTTCTTACCACAGAATTGGGGTAAAGAATCTCTTTGATAATATCAAGATTTGCATGATTATGCAATGAACTCCAGATTCTTTTCTGGGTTGTTATATTCATCAAGAAAACAACAAACATTTCATCATGGAGTTCAATGTTTTGTGATGCAGTGACTTTAAACTGTACGGGTGTACCACTAGCATCATCCTCTGTGTAATTTACTAATAAAAAAACACATTTACTACCCACACTCCGCGAAACAGATCCACGTTCCCGATGTGTTAAAATAAGCAGATCATTAGGTAAAGTCTGGTAAGATTCTTTTGGGCGTTCAGTGTTTCTCCAATTACCAACAGTAACATCATACATCCTTTTCTCTTTACCATTGGCGTTCTTAAAAGAAGAAATTTTAGCAAATGGAGCTCTGTGCATCATGTTCATATTGGAAGCCAGTTCAGTACGTGTTTCCTCTAGCAAAGGATACACAAACGAACCGAAATAGTGTTCCTCAGACCGGAAAGTAAGTGGTATCTTCTTCATCTGCAAATGATCAAGTCACGAGAAAGATTTCATGTGATGGAGCTATGATCTAAATGGATTCAGCTTATTTGATAACGTATAGTTATTGAGGAAGTCTCGAGAGGTTTATGTTTATATTTCTCAAAAAAAATAATCAGTTTGATCTACTGATCTTCATGCCACTGATAAACATTTTAGCCCACAATGAAAAAAAAAAAGTTGACTTTGAGGTCAATGGGGTTGTAATTACTAATTTCTTCAAAAAAAATGGTGTGATCACTGCAACTTTTGGATGTATATGTGAATCAACAATGGATTTCATAATAATATAAGAATAGACTAATGTTTACGTACAGTTTTGTGATATAAGATTCTGATAATATATATATAATATACCAAAGTGTTCTGAAATAATACACCAAAGTGTTCTGAAACAAAGGGTTAATTTGAACTAACTATCACAGTTTTAGAGATAAGAAGAAAGGGTAAGAAAAGTGGAATGATCCAAAGTTACATGCATTTCAATGAAATGATTGATATGATCAAGAATGGGTTCGCAAACGAAACTAAAAAAAAAAGAATAAAAACAACAAATTTAAGACTTCAATTCAAGAACTGCAGATTAAAAATTAAGAAACGATCAAGTGTGTAAAAGAATAACCTGGTGTTCATAGAGCTTGTCATTGAGAATGTTGTCAAGAGACCATGAAAAGATCAACTGTGCAAAGTCGTGGTTCTGGGCATATCCGTTTTTCTTCTCAAAAGAACTTCCTGTCATCATCGCCTTCTAATAATTATCAGAAACCAAAAATAAGAATCAGATGAAACTGGGTTTTTTTTGTGTTGTCGTTTTGAAAATAATCGTGTATTCTCTTCCTGACTAAGGAAGTGATCGTGATTCGTGGGTAGATATCAAGTAGCAGCGTCAAGATTCTAAGATTGCTTTTGAAAAGCTTGTCCGTACATTAAAGGAAACATCAACGGTTTAATAATAAAAACGAAGCAACCAAGAAAATAACCGGTCGACTTTAAGAAGCGAAGTCAAGTTCAAGTCTACGCATTTTTATTTATTTATTTGTTTTTTTTTTTTTGTTCATCGTTTTCCTTTATAGCTTTTGCTCATTCATTCCATGCACTCACTGTTCTCAAATTTCCCGCGTAGTGAAGGCAGTAGTGCGGGTTCTTTTCTAAAGGGTTGTTGGGAATTAAAGATATTTAATAGCCTAATAATACGTTTTATATTGTTTGTTTCTATTTGGAATGTGGATATTTTTAAGTGTATTATTATTTTTATGTTAATGGTAGCCTAGATAATTTCATTTGAACCTTTTTGTATATCTGCACATTGCCCCTTAGCCTCTTGCTAAGTGCTGCTGTTTAAATTATATACAGTATATATTTCTTTTGCTGTTTCAAAAAAAATAATGGTAGCCTAGATAATTATGGGGTGTTTGGATTGCCGATTAATTTAAACAAGGGATATCATCGTAACAAACCGTATTTTATAAACCAATATCACAAAATAACCATATTTTTTTAATAAAACCCAAATGAACATTTTCTTCGAATATCTTGATTTTTTGAAGACTATGTAAAATTCTCAAACCTGATTTTCTGATGACATAAAACCTGTTTGAAAAAAATGGGTTTTCTGAATTTTTGAATTCCTTTAAATTTTTAGATTTTTTTTTCTAACATAAAGCATGTTCAACAATTGTTATTTAGGAACTTCAAAATGCATTATGATTTGCAAACTTTTTTCTGAGAAGAGTAGCATGCAACTCCAAACAGTGGCAAAAAAATTTTAAAATCTCTCGTTTTTAGTCCATTTAGTGGTGCGGTTTCTGATATTTTGATTCACGCATTCAAATTTTCAAATTTCTATAAATTCATGTTAAAGTTTATTTGGTGTACCTATAATGTCATAATGATGTTTTCTAGGCATCCCATCGGTTAATGCAATAGATCACGGGGGAGTTGCATGCCAAAGACACTGTACACTGTTTACACATATTCCATAAGGGATCTAGTGAGTAGGTGAAATTTCGTCTTAATGATAGCGTTGTCTGAAATAAAGCTTTGTGGACGATTGAGTGATCATCAAATCAAGAGATGTCATTCGGCTAAGAAGAGAACCAAATGGTAGTTTTTTAGGTCTTTGACCTGTAGCATGTGGCAGGCAATAAGCGTAACATGTGTCTTGCAAAAACTGAATCATAAACTATAGAAACTCGGTTTTAATGACAGAGTTGGCCTTAAAAAGAGTCTTATATGTAGGCTCTAACATATGATTTGGCAGATAGTTGGCCTTAAAAGAGTCTCACATGTAGGCTCTCACATAAGACTTGCCCTATAGTTGGAAGATGGAAGAAAGGTCAATAAACAACGAGTTAGTTGGCATAATTCTTGATGACAGTAGAGGAGACAACAAGACTTCCAAGATCTCAAAATTCATATATAGTTATTGGTTCAATGATGTACAACTCAGATGAAAATACGTTGGAGACTAATCTTTCACAAAAGATGTCATCGTCCCGGAAGTAGCTATTTATTCCTATATTTTTGAAGTGTAAAACGTAAATATTCATTTGAAGTTGTAATATGTATGGATTAATTTCAAAATTTTATTATGTTTTTTTGTGATTTATTTGTAATATGCTTACAATAATTTCGTAAAGACAAAATTTCATAATTGGTCCATGTGGTTTGCAAAATATTGCACTTTGAGGACTTCTATGAAATATATCATGCTGATGGTCCCTATGGTTTTGAAAATTGCATGAATAGTCCTTCTAGTGTTAGCTTTAACTTTTGAGTAGTTAGTTTTTTTCTAAATGACCAAAATTCCATTGGACCAATACTGAAAATTATGTATACCTCAAAGATCAATTATGAAAATTTAAAAGTTTATATATATATATATATATATATATATATATATATATATATACATACTCGATGTTGGTAAGAAAAAACAAAAATCAAGAACAATAAAAGTCAATGTCCTACAATTGTGAGGTTCATGTTAGACAAAGAAACAAACAAATATGTTTTTGTACGAGTTTGAGAAAAAAACATAACCACAAGTTGTTTACTTTAAGTAACAAGTGTTCTAAAAAAATAAGCAAAAATTGGACTATAAAGTTGAAAATTTCATTCATGATCTATGTGCATATAACTTTGGTCCTACAAAAGGCTTATTAATTGATGGAGACCATAAAGTGAGGATTAGGGATGCAAACAAGGATGGATACTACAATACTCATCCTTGCACTTGGACACCGATCCCCATACCTATCTCCCCCGTCCCATCAAATCCCCGATGGGTTTGGGTAGAAAAATCTTCATCGGATACGGGGAACTTGATGGATATTTGTTGGTAATATATATATATATATATATATATATATATATATATATATATATATATATATATATATATATATATATATATATAACATAATACATAATGATTGTGAATAGTAGTGCGGAAATGGTTGTGAATAGAATGATTAACAATAAGGAATACATACAAAACTTCTCTTTGGAATATCTTGCTTGTAGCAATGATGAGTTAACTGGGATGTTTTTGGCTTATGAAACAGCAAAAACAAATTATAAAGAATTTGGAGACATGGTTTCATTTGATGCAACATATACAAGAAACATGTAAGTTTTTATCATATTTTATGTTTTGTAATTATACAAGTTATATATTTGTGCATAGATGAACATATAATATGTTCATAAATGAACAATACATAAAACGATTATTTAATTTTTAACAAATTATATATCAGGTACAACATGGTATTTATACCATTCACAAGAATTGATAATCACAAACATTTTGTTACATTTGGTACAAGCTTACTTGATAACGAGACCGTTGATTCTTTATATGTGGTTGTTCAGGTGTTTTTTGGATGCAATTGGTGAAGAACCATATATTATTGTTATCGATCAAGATCCAACCATGAGAAAGGCAGTTACAATGGTTTTTAAGAATGCAGGATATATATACTATGTATGTGGCATATTGACTTGATAACAATGTACATGAAAGTAATATATTTTTTAATTTCATTTGTGAATCTAACAAATATATTTATATTTCTATGATTTAAATCTATGAATAATTTTCTTAATTACATGTTCCCCCATAAGTTTTGGCTACTGATTTCAGGAAGCGAATATTATCATTAATTTTGAATAATAAAATAGGTACTTGATTAATTTGATGGTATGTGTCAATAATTGATGAATGTCTTTTGTCTTAGTGTTTGTGAATAGTTAATTTATTTTCAAGTAATTATATCATACATTATTGTAATTATAATCATCTGTCAAATATGACGTTCAATTGGATGTTGTATTTATTGAAGATAAGTTTTGATGACTTCTAACCAATTCAAAATGTTTTCTTTTTAGCTGAAAATTACAAGTTGACTCATTTGATTCTTTTAACTTAAATGGGTCTAAATATAAATAGATTGGTCAAATTTTATCTTTAGTTGGGAAGGTGTAAAACACTAAAAACAAGATATCTAAATTTAATTAGCAGCCTTGTTTTTGCACCAGATTATAAGAGTAAAACTTGATCAAGACCCATTTTTAATAGACACAAATGTAGAAGTATACATATCCAAGCCGATATATAAAGATGATAAAAAAAAAGGGGGAATAATAGGTTTAAATTGATTTAGTTTTAAGCCAGATTATGAATAAAGTTACTAAATACAAGATATAACAATTTATTTCTATAACATATTTTAGTTTAAACTTTTTTCTTGGAAAGACTACTCTTGAAATCTTACACAAATTTTGCATTGTACATTTAGTTCTTTTCTCATAGGACATTATATTTTGAAAACTTTATTCAACTACAGTAACAAAATGTTTTATTTAGATAACATTGCTATAATTTAGGTTTCAAAAGTATGTACTATAAAGAAAGGTAATTAAAGTGTTTTAATAAACAAAGTGATAAGAGTACATTGTTATTTTTTGTCCAAACAAAAGATGCATAAAATCTTTCAGAAAATTTGCTTTGTATTTACAACTGCATTGCTATAATAAGTAAAATAGCAGCACTTCAAGTTTAATGGAAGCGGTGAATTAGTACCTACCTTAAGAGGTAGACAAACTTTCATTTCATATATGCATCTTTCCTATTTAAAAGATTAGGAATCAAGGATTCTTTTCAGTAACACCAAAAATACAAAAAGTTTTAGAACCAAAACATTACAGTAGCTAGATAACACATCTATCCAACTAAACATGTTATTTATTCTTGCCTTTGCCCTTTTTACCCTTGTTCTTCCCCTTGTTATTTCCCTTCCCTTTCTTGCTTTTTGGATCCTGATTGTTACCACTAGTGCTTTGTTTTTCAACAACCGAATCCACCATTGAATCAACATTTCCATTATCACCCTTGTTCTTCCCCTTCTTCTTTCCCTTCCCTTTCTTGGTTTTTGAATCCTGAGTATTACCATCATTGCTTTCTTCTTCTTCCACCATGTCCACCTGTGAATCAGTAGCATGATCCTCCTCCTGATGCACCTCACTTGTGTTGCTGCTTTCTGAAACTACCTTTTGCACAACCTTCAAGTCTTGAGTTTTGTTCAAGAAATCATCTATCAATGGCCTATTACCTTGTAGATTCTCCACAACCAATTGCAAAGTCTTCATTGCCTCATTAGTGAAAACACCATGCTTCTCTTTATGTTCACTGAAAATATATAATCCACAGATCCATTAAATCATTCAGAAAGAATCAAGATGTATGTATATATTGCAAGTCTAACCTTGTATCAAATGCAGAAGAAAGCAGTTTCAGTTCACCAAGTGCACTAGTTACTTTGCCTATTGAATCTTCTCCAGCATTGGATTTTGCATCCTCAAGAACAGAAGCCAATGTTTGTATATCTTTGTCCAATTCTTTCTGCAAAAAAAAAAAAAAAAAAAAAAAAAAAAAAAACAA